CCAACCTAGCACTGAATCCTGACAATTTTACCTGCTATATATTCCTTACTTTAGTTGACTTCTCTCCATTTCCCTAGATTAAATGTCTATCATCTCTTGTATGGAATACTGACACTGCTTTCTAAGTGGTCCACCTGGCACTCACTTTCAATCCTTCCAATTTGTTCACAGTACACTAGACCAGTAGTCCTCAAAGTGTGGCCTGCAGACTAGCAGTATCACCTGGGATTCTGTTAGAAATGCAAATTCTCTTACTCTAATCCAGAAATATGGAATCAGAAACTTTGGGGTGAGGCCCAGCAATGTGTTTTAAAGAGCCCTTAAAGCGATTAGTATGTACACTAAAATTCAAGAATCCCTGCAATAGTGTGATGTTTCAAACCAGAGATCATATGTTACCCTATGTTTAAGGCCCACCAATGAATTCCAAGTTGCTTTTAAGATAAAATTAAAAAAAGAAAATTCTTTTGTGGCTTAAACAGTCCTTGATGATGGGGATCGTGCCTCTGTTTCCAGCTTCAGTGCACGCCACTTTTGCATTTCTTATATCATTATGCTTGTCCTTGCATGTGGTCACTGCACCAGCTCTTGCCTCTCCCTAGAACAATTTCTCTCTTCTCTTCACTGATTTTCTCTTTTTAACTTTTCAGCTTTTAACTCTACTGGCATTTGCTTATGGCAGAAATTCTGACAACCTCTCTACCTCCCCCCAAAACGCTAAATCAAAGCCCCCAAGTACATGTTTCATAGTACCATCTGTCATTTTTGAACAAAATTTGCCACAGTAGCAAGTTTACTTAGATTTGTGTGAATATATAATTAATGTTGTCACCTCTGTTCAACTATAACTAGGCTCATAAGGCAGAGATTGGGTGCTTTTACTTAGATTTCAATCCTTGGTGCCTAAATCATACCTGGAATATTCTTGCTTACAAGATATGTTTCATAAGTGGTCAAAGACCAAACAATGATTTAACATTTACAATGTTCAAGGCACCAGGCTAAGACTCTCACATAAATTTCACCACTTAATCTTCAGGAAAAATATATTTCTTTTTGTTCATTTACCAAATATGTGTGTATGCATGTGTGTGTGTGTATATATATATATCCCTCCAATGTGTCAAGCATAGTTTGAAGTACTTTACCAATACTAAAAACTTTAAATCTACCAAGAACCAGATGAACTATACAATTATATCTACTTTTATAGATGAAAAAACTGATGCACATTTATTTGCCTGAAGTCACACAGTAAGTGGTCACTCAAGATTTGGACACTGGTGACTTGACTACAAAATATGTTGCTTTAAAAGTATATGTTGACAATTAAGATCCTAGTTTCCAATTGCAATTATATGAATGAATTATATGAATGAAAATTTATTTTATGACATATTACTCTGGAGTCATTGTTCATTAGAACAAAGTAGATTTATCAATGCTTCCCTCTCTGCTCTTATTCTGGGAAACAATGGCCAGGAATAGTGGCTCCTGCCTGCAAGCGAGTAGAGAAAGGTGAATCAGAGCAGTGAAGGAGTCTAGCTTTGGTCTATCATTGGGATATTTATAAAGCAACTCAAGGAACACCAAGGATTAATGACGCAATAATTGCATCATTATTATGATCCAAGGGCCAGAAGACAGTTGTACCCCCTGCTAGCCACATTTTCTTTCAGATGAATTCCTTGTGTGCTGCTTTGTTGAGTCAGCTTTGAAAATTAACCAACCTCAACCAGCCAGGAACCAGTTTACCTAAAAACAATAAGGGTAGATAAAAAGAGTGCCTTTAAGTAAAATTTACAGTTATGTTCCAGAGTTTTCCACACAATACTATCAGTTAATATTTTTAAAGAATTTACTATACTAGTACTTAAAACAGAGGAAAGAATTCTCTCTCTAAAAACGTTTAAATTCCAAATTCTCTGGATCTCACTACACTACTATAGAAGGTCAGATACTTTTAAAGATCATATTGTGATATAGTTTAATCTTTCATTGGTCTTAACACCAAGAATTTCTCTTCTTCAAAGTGTCCCCAGATTGTTTCTGTGAAAGACCAAGAAAGTACCCCAAACCCTTCTAGCAGTTACAGTCTCCACCCACCTTGTTTGTCCTTCATAATTTGTTTATCACTAGTTTGAAAATCTACTTGGTACAAACTCACTTCTACTCCTACTCACTGAAGGTGGGGGCCTAGAATCCAAATTTCAGCTGTTCCCTGACCTCTAAACCCTGGTAGCCAGGGTTTCTGGGTTCATGCTGGAGTTGAAAAACTGGCTAGCTGAATCAAACTTTGTTGCTGACTCTAGCAGCTTTGAATTTGCTGAGACATTCACAACATCTCTCTCAGAACATTTCCTTTAATTTCTGGCCCACTAACACTAGAGGCTTTAATCCAGTTTACAGGAGAAGGCAGGGAATCAATGGGAAATCAACTGCTTTATCCCCCTTGGCTCTTTCCTATACCCTTTTTTCTAACACGATAATCTTGCTCTTCTAGTTTGTAGTTTATGATAGTTAATTTTATGTGTTAACTCAATTGGGCCACTGGATACCCAGATAGATGGTTAAAACATTGTTTCTGGGTATGTCTGTGAGGGTGTTTCTAAAAGAGATTAGCATTGAAATTGGTGGACTAAGAAAAGCAGGTGGCCCTCCATAACATGGGTAGACATCATCTGATCCCTGGAAGGCCTGAATAGAGCTAAAAGGGAAAGCAAGGATGAATTTGCTCTCTGCCTAGCCAGCTGAGCTGGAACATGGATCTTCAGTCTTCAGTGCTCCTTGTTCTCAAGCCTTCAGACCTAGGCTGAAATCCACACCATTGGCTCTCTGGCACTCAGACTTTCAAATCACACTACCAACTTTCCCAGGTCTCCAGCTTGCAGATGGCAGATTGAGACTTTTGGGTCTCCATAATCATGTAAGCCAATACTTTATAATATAATAAATTTCTTTCTATGTATATACCTTATAACAAATCTCTTTTGTATACATAAAATTGCTTCTATATGTTCTGTATATATAATCTCTTTCTTATTGGTTCTGTGTCTCTGCAGAACTCTAACACACAGTTATAAAACAAACATCATTATGCATATCAAAAGTTGTTAACAGATACTAAGAAGAAGGCTGCAGGAGTAAAAGAGAGAACATCTACCTATAGAAGTAAACATTGTGTTAGATGGGGCATTGCCATGGCAACAGTTTCTGGATCACACCAAATTTTGCAGGCTGATCATCTTTTGAACTCATGTGAAACTAATTAGCACCAGCTTTACTAGGATTAAATAAGAACACATCACTGTAGTTAATAAGGAGTGTCAGAAACTTCAAGTTCAATTTACAATAAGAGAATAAACTAGTAAGAACTAAAATGAAAGAATGAGCCACAAAGAAATAAACAGCCTAAGAGATAATATGCTAAAAATGTAGCTAAAGAGATTTTAGGAAAAATGTAAGTTTAATCAACTCGCAGCTGAGCAATCCAAAAATGAACTAATTAACATACTTAAAAGAAGATGATGTTATTAGGAGAAAGGTGGAAAAGCGGAGTGTGGAAGTACAAAATCCAAGGGTCTGAAACTGTTAATCTTAGAGAGACAAATACCTCAAACCTTAGAGGAAAGGGCTTTTCTTGCATGGGGAAATGCATTTGGCTCCATTGTCTTCTCTCTCCATTGCCTGAATGAAACATCCTCAAGGATCATCCAATCTTTGCACCCTGACTTCATTCCTAATAATCTTTTGAATATGCAGTTTACCCAGGGGTTCAATACTCAGAAGAAAGTGCCATATTTTGTGACTGTAGTGGAAGAAATGGAGTCCACCAAAAGAGAACCTATCAAAAGAGAACTTTTTTTTTTCCTTCCCTCCCACCACAGTGGAAAAGACATCTGTCCTCACATCTAAGGCTGGTCCCTCATTAAATTCTGGAATCTAATTGAGTAAAGTGACCTCATTGCATAGATCATCCTTCATTTTCCTACATTGTCTATTTCTATGTTTCTACTAGTTATTTTCTATAAGAAGTTAAATAAAATCACAATTCTCTTACATTCTATTTAAGAACTTCCATCCTCCCAAAGAGTGCTCCTCGGTTTTGTCTATCTCCCTAAATGGCTACATTTTCCATATATCTGCCTAAGGCTCCAACAGGAAGCCATTATTTCTCTCCTCATCTCCCTTAATACACCATCTAGTCAATTACCACATTTAGTCTGTTGAAATGCTGTAGCATTTATTCAATCTCACTCCCTTTCTCCATCATATTGTCACTTCATTGTTTAAACCTATACTACTTATTTCCTGGATTACTGTAATGAATCACTCACAATTATAACTGATATTGCTGTTGTCTTGCTCTCCTCCACTTCATGTTCAATACTGTGGCTTGAGCATTCTTTTCTTTTTCCTTTCATTGCCTCTCTTTAAAAATAGATTATTATAAAAGTATTGTTGGGGAGGACGGAATTAAAGCAGCTAGCCCATGATTCCCCCTGACTATCAGGGAGATAGATGCTTCTGGGGAGTCCGAGGGAAGGGTGGTGACCTGGTCTAATCTTCTTGTAAACACAATAACTGGATCCCTGGGACAACAGAGGAAGAATATTTGCTGGAAGGAGGATTCTTATCTATAAAATACTTTGTAAAAGATGTCCTAGGGTTAGGATTACTTACTGTAAACAAACGTAAGCTTTGATGGATTTCTGAGGCATGGCTGCCTAGAGGACATCACATCAGCTATACGAGTATCCTAAGTATAAAATGGAGATGCTTTATCATTTAAATGCTCCCCACTGTGTGAAGTCATATTGGGGACTTCTATTGTTCTGAACCAGGGACTGTGCGTCAGATGGGAAAAGGAGTGTGGTGGAGACTAGTAGGATGTGTCAGCCTAAGAGACATCATCCACTCCATCCACTGGTGTCTGGATTATGTAGGGCATGTGGCACATTGTTCTGTCACTGATAACACTCACTCTGGACACAGCTTACCTGGTTTCAAATCATGGATCTATACCAGGCTCTCTCTGAAACTTTTGGGCAACATCCTCAACTTTTCCATGTCTCAGTCATTGATCTAAAAAATGAGAAAAATAACTCCCTGCTGGATTTGTGCATGTAAAATGAATTGACCATGTAAATTCCCTGGCACATAGCAAACTCTCAGTAAATATGACCAGCAATAATTGTTAACCATAGATATGTATGGCTTAAGATGTATACCCTTTTCATTATTGAATATAAAATTTCCACCTATGGCAGTAGCAATAGTAAACTTTGCATTTCCTCTGAAAACAAGGTTGCAGAAGATTTTACATGGAGTAAACTAGTCATTTAACCATCAAACAATAGGCACCTCTCACAAAAAGTAAGTTGAGAAAGCAGGAAACACACCTCAGTTTCTGACTCCACTCCTAGTTACCAGACCACCATAGCTCCTGGAAGACTCAGGAAGCTAACCAAGGGTAAGGTGCATGGTGTGGGTTCTAGCTCCAAAGCCACCAAATATTAGTTCTGACCATTTGATCAAATTAATGAACTCCTCTCACCCTTTGCATAGAATTATTGGGATTAAATGGGATAACAGATATCTTTCATCCAGCCCTCTCTGCGAGCCAGGCAGTTTCTAAGCACTTTGCCTCATTAAATGTTATCTATTTTAATTCTCAAAACAACCTATAAGGTATTAAAATTATTCTTATTTTTACACAATGTATACTAACGTTCTTAGCATAGAATCTGCCACAGAGTAAATGCTCAATAATACTAGTTATTTTTTAAAATGATTGCTCTTCCATTAGAATTATACCCACAAAGAATATTTATATAGATATCTATTTCCCCAGAGCAGAAGCAATCTTTGATAGGTAACCTTTGTTTGCTCACAGTGTGAGGTAATCCCATTTTTAAAAGGACTAAAAGTTTCAAACTTAGAAACAAATTCTGGAGTCCACCTACATTGCCACTGTCCGCATATCCCATTACTGCCAGACCTCACTGGGTCCAGGGGGCTAGCACACAGTGGCAGAGTCCAGAAATATATAAAAAGATGGTACCAGGATGTCCAAGACAAGCCACTAGGTCAATTCAGCATCCAGGAGAGAAAGGAGAATGTAATTTTCTGCTTCTGACATATATTAACATTAATAGTACAAGATGAAAATTCAGTTATTATTTTGAGAAAACATTTTTTTTTTCAAATACCTTTATTCCTTTTCTAACATATCAAGGTTTAAGACTGAGGGAAGCTGTGTGGGCTTTGGCCTAAGCGGGGAGTGTCAGATAATTTCAGGTAATATTAAAAACAGAGGGAAACAGGGAGGCCTTTTACAACCACAGGAATAGTCAAAGTAAAATTGGCCAGTATAGTTAGACACCCGCAATCTTGATGGGCAGTTCCCCAAACTGCCCTTGGTTTACATGTGGTACAGGTAGGATGCAGACATGGCTGGGGAGCTTGTGGGGGGGGGTGGAGATTGCTATTAGAGGATGAAGTGGCCCCGGGGGCTGCAGAGCTGCCTGCCTGGCCTGAGACTGGGTGGCAGCCACAGCTGGACCCCTGAAAGATCGCAGCACCAAAGGAGCTGAGGGGGAATAAGGCAGCAAGGCTGCTCTACTCAGTGCCCTTCCTGGGAAGTCACAGATGACAAACCATCCTGGCCTTAGGACCTAAACAAGCAGAGGCAGGTAGACCAGGAGCATGGCCTTGAGGTTGGAAGATGACAGACAGGACGATGTCTTCACTTATTCTCTTGAACTTCCTCTGAGGGAGAAAAGCAGGTGAAAGGAGAGAATATCTGAGAGAATAAAAAATTCAAAATTACCCAAAGGGACTGTTCAAAGCAACAGTCAGCAAACAATATGTTTGGTGGTCAAATCCAGCCACTGCCTCATTTTTAAATAATGTTTTCTTGGAAAATAGCCAAATCTAATCTATTTATGTATCATTTATGAGTGCTTTTTGTGCTACAATGACAATGAATTATATATTCATATATTATGTATTTTACTTATATATAAAAATAAATAGATATATGAGAGGTAATTTATTAGAGGAATTGGCTCATACAACTTTGCAGGCTGAGAATCCCATGATATTTGTTCTGTATGTGGAGAACGAAGGAAGCCAGTAGCACGCCTTAGTCCACATCCAAAGCCTGGGAACCAAGGGAGCAGATGGTATCACTGTCAATCCAAGGCTGAGAACCTGGGGGCAAGACTGGGGTACAAGTCCCGAAGTCTGAAGGCTGAAGATCCTGGAGTTCTCATGTATAAGAGCAGGAGACGATGGATGTCACAGCTCCAAAAAAGTAAGAGAGACAGGAAGGAATTCTTCTTTCTTTGTCTTTTGATCTATCTGCACTCTCAAGTGATTGGATGCCGTCTGCACACATTGGTGAGGGCAGATCTTCCATGCACAGTCCCCTAATTCAAATGCCAGTCTCTTCTGGAAACACCCTCACAGAAACACCCAGAAATCATGCTGTATGAACTATCTGAGTATCCCTTAATTCTCTTAAGTTGGCACCTAAAATTAACCATTACAGAGAGTATGGCCCACAAGGCCTAAAATATTTGCTATTTGGCCCTCTATAGAAAAAGTTTGCAACCCCTGGTTTATGGCATCAGGTAGAACTTATTTTAAAGTATAATGTGAAGTTATTTATTTATTTTCTTGATATTTGATGAGTCAGGTAGAAGGCCTAAATAGTTTTAAACAAACAAACAAAAAACCTCTACGTTTCAATTTGCATGTTAGTTAAATCTACATTAAACTAAGTGCCCCATGATTTCTGTATATAAATAACTATCACAGCTAGCCACAGAGAAGGTAAAATAATTGGTGACTGATTTATATATTTAGCATCCAAACCATCAATTTTTCTCTTTCTTTCAAAGTGATCATCTTTCTAACACATTCATTAGCAGGCATTGTAGAATTAGGGATGTACTTAGCTGAGACAAAAAGTGGGAATGAGGAAGAGAGGAAACAAAAATGCAATGCCTTGCCTCTACTCAATGAAGACAGAGGTGGATGTACTACCTGAAAAGGAGAAACAGGTGATGGGGCTATGCACTTGGAGAGGCACCATTTCCTTCTCTTTGATGATCTCCGAGGTTTATCTCCTAAACTATAGGGTCAGGGAAGTGGGAGCTAAAGGGGCATTAGGATAGCTTTCAACAGTCCCTGAAAGACACTTGATACCTTGTCAAGAACATTTTCTTAGTTCATCTCCAGAAAAGAAGTCCCCAGTCTAGCTAGCTCCTAATTTTTAAGGCAAAGTCATGATCAGAATAGCAACACAATTAGTCCACAGGAATGTTTCATCTAAGATACTGAAACTTTTTGGAGTCAACCTTTGGAATAAATGAATGCTTTAGACCCTGATTATTTTTAAAAAATGCACATATATGAAATAGTTTGCATTAAATTTCAAAGAACTTTTGTTTGTAATGTTTTCTAGATCATTTGTTTTGGACTTCAGAACTGGCACAGATAGAAAATATTTTTGGGCTTGCTATTATCCATAGATCACTTTCTAACTGTGAATTCTTGTTCTCCCCCATTTATTTCACCTTCTTCAACCATTCTAACCTAGTCACACTTCCTGTGTTCACTTTATTTTTTTTAAATTATTTTTTCCTGTGTTCCAAATAAAAATTTAATGAAGAAAGGAAAAAAAACAAGATCATAATGAGTATATCTTGTTATCGTCGCAATGGTCAATTTATTTAGAGACCCCTGTGTCTATTTCCACCAGAAGAAAAATCCCAGCAGATACTATCTCCTCATCTTCTGCTTCCAAGTAGTGCTATACTTAACTGGTGAAGGATGACTGTTCCATTTCAGTAACCTCCAGTGGAGAAGCTTTTTTAGGTATAATTTACATCTTTCTTGTAATTTGCAACCATTTAATTTGATTGTGTCTTCATGTAGATGGAAAACATCTGGTCAACCTTTTTATAGAGCTTTTTATATGCTTGAAAACAGTTATTAACAACCCTCAGCTCTCCTTTCTTTAATAGTAATCTAAATTTATTTAACATCTCTTTTTAATAATGTGCTGCCCTTTCAATACAAAGCTGGGATTATTAGGACATTAATTTTGAGTTGTTTTATGAGAGTGGTGAAGAGTTTGTACTTAATCACATCTATTCCACTTTGATCTCCAATGTGTTGCTTGTGGATTTTTAAGGTGGGGTATGGAGTCGTCTGTGACTTCAAAATTGGGTGAGGGAATTACTGGGACATAGGATTCCATATTTCCTGTCTCAATTAGTCGAGGAAATTCCTCATTTTAGAAGTCCTAATAAATACTTCTTGTAGTTCTTTTAGTCATAATTTACAGAATAAAATTTCACATTTCCCTTTAGAAAAACTGAACAATCAATACAAATAAATCATTAACTACTTTGTTATGCCAAAGAATTTTTTAAATGAAAATTTTAATGACAATATGGCTATCACATTTATTTAAAAACTCAAAACTCAGCAATGCTATAAGAAGATAGCAGATCTTATAAAATAGACAGTATTAGGGAGAACAAAAGAGAGTCCATATGAATTTTCTTTTAAATGTCCATAATACATGTTGAATTATAACTCTGTAAATATAAAAGACCAGGTGTTCCATCTTGCCAGATTCATATCTTCATAAGATAGATGCAAGAATATTTTATTTCATAAAATATTCATCAATTTTTTTCTTTTGTTTTAGTTGAATAGACTTTAAATGAAGCAAGAACATGAATCAAGGAGAGCTCTAGAGAATATGAAGACTGAGAGAAGAACATGCTTAATTCTTAGCTCCTGCCAAGAAAGAGGTGAGTTCATATGATTATATGTGGCATATAATCATACTTATTGAATAAATATGATTAGTTATGAACTTCATGTTGAGCACTGTTCAAGTTGCTGTTGAAACAGCAGGTAAAAAAGATAGACAAACCCCCTTTTCTCATGTAGCTAACATTTTAGTGGGGGATGGCAGACAATACAATAAACACAAGTAATTAAGACAGTATCAATTAAGGCAAGTTCATTGAAGAAAATAAGGCATAGTTCCAGAGAGTGACTAGTGCCTACATAAATAAGATGATGTAGGAATATTTAAGGCGAGAGTTAAATGACAAATGGGAGCCAGCCCCTCAGATATCTGGAGGACAAAGCAGCAAAGCGGAAATGAAGGATATGGAAGAGTACCCTCACGACTGGACAGAATAATGTGTGCCTGTGTCACTATTCATGGGTTGCTACTCACACACACACACACACACACACACACATACACACACACACACACAAAGAATTTCCTGCTCCTCTTCACTAGTTCAAATTCAAACCTCCCATTTTCTATAAGTCCCCCCACCCCCATCCCAAATCCATAAAATCATTCATTTTGACTCAGGACTTTAAAAAATTTTTCCATTTTTAATTTTTTATATTTCAATGGTACTGGAAAACTTCCCACCTAATCATTATATATATCATGTAAATGTTTGAACATAGGTCTCTTATGTTCTCAAAGTATATAGTACTTTTTTCAAAAATGAGAATTGTGTCTCTTTATTTATTTTGTCCTTTATAGTGTCAATTCTTTTGGACAAATGATATTGATAAAATAAGAATCTTTGGCTGTGCAGAAGCTTTTTAGTTTGATCATGTCCCATTTATTTATTTTTGTTGCTGCTGTGATTACCTTTGGGGTCTTCTTCATAAATTCTTTTCCTAGGCTGATGTCTAGGAGAGTGTTTCCAACATTTTCCTCTAGAATTCTAATAGTTTCATACCTTAGGTTTAAGTCTGTTATCCGGCATGAGTTGATTTTTGTGAGAGGTGAAAGGTGTGGGTCCTGCTTCAGCCTTCTATAAGTGGCTATCCAGTTTTCCCAGCACCATTTATTGAAAAGGGATTCTTTTCCCCAGTGTATGTTTTTGTCTGCTTTGTTAAAGATTAGATGGCTATATGAGGACAGTTTTATATCAGGGTTCTCATCTGTTCCACTGGTCAATATTCCTATTTTTGTGCCAATACCATATTGATTTAATTACTACAGCTTTGTAGTATAGTTTGATATCTGGCATATTAATGCCTCCCATTTTGTTTTTGTTGCCTAGAATTGCTTTTGATATTCGGGTGTTCTTTGGTTCCATATGAAGTGTAAAATTATTTTTTCTCTATCTGTGAAGAATGCTGATGGGATTTTAATAGGTATTGCATTGAATCTGTAGATCAGTTTGGGTAGTATAGACATTTTAATGATGTTGAGTCTGCTGACCCATGAGCATGGAATGGATTTCCATCTGTTTACATCCTCTGCTATTTCCTTTCTCAGTGTTTCATAGATCTCCCTGTAGAGGTTTTTTACATCCTTAGTTAAGTATATTCCTAGGTACTTTATTTTCTTTGATGCTATTGTGAAGGGTATTGAGTCTTTGATTTGGTTCTCAATTTGATTGTTGTTGGCATATATGAATGCCTCTTATTTCTGTGTATTGATTTTGTATCCTGAGACTTTACTAAATTCATCTATCAATTCCAGGAGTTTCTTGCTTGAATCCTTGGCGTTTTCTAAGTATAATATCATGTCATCAGCAGACAGTGAAAGTTCGATCTCTTCTGCCCCAATTCAGATACCTTTAATGAAAGTAAACAGACAGCCTACAGAATTGGAGAAAATTTTCGCATCCTACACATCTGATAAGGGGCTGATAACTAGAGTCTACTTAGAACTCATGAAAATCAGCAAGAAAAAATTAAGCAACCCTATCAAAAAGTGGGCAAAGGACATGAACAGAAACTTTTCTAAAGAAGACAGAATAATGGCTAACAAACATATGAAAAATGCTCAACATCTCTAATTATCAGGGAAATGCAAATCAAAACTACAATGAGATATCACTTATTTCCAGTTAGAATGGCCTTTATCAAAATGTCCAGAAACAATAGAGGTTGGCATGGATGCAGAGAGATAGGAACACTCCTACACTGCTGGTGGGACTGCAAACTAGTTCAACCTCTATGGAAAGCAATATGGAGATACCCATTTGATCCAGCAATCCCATTACTGGGCATCTACCCAAAAGAACAAAAGTCACTCTATGAAAAAGACACCCACACTCGAATGTTTATAGCAGCACAATTCATAATTGCAAAGTTGTGGAAATAACTCGAGTACCCATCAATTCATGAGTGGTTGTGGTATACGTATACCATGGAGTACTATTCAGCTCTAAGAAACAACGGTGATATAGCACATTTTGTATTTTCCTGGTTAGAGCTGGAACCCATACTACTAAGTGAAGTATCTCAAGAATGGAAAAACAAGCACCACATATACTCACCAGCAAACTGGTATTAACTGAGCAGCACCTAAGTGGACACATAGGAACTACATTAATTGGGTAATGGGTGGGTGGGAGGAAGGGTGGGTATATTATATATACATAATGAGTGAGATGTGCACTGTCTGGGGGATGGTCACACTTGAGGCTCAGACTTGTGGGGGGAGAGGGGGCAAGGGCATTATTTGAAACCTTAAAATTTGTACCCCCATAATATGCTGAAATTAAAAAAAAAAAAAAAGAATCTTGGGGCTGGTTGAAAATCTACCAGGACTTCTTGCCACTTGACCTTGGAATTGTGACTTGCTTTTTAGATTTTCTACCCCTAAAGGTTTTTATAGAAAGAAAAGAAGGATGCCTCTGGGGGTAATAACTGCAGCACCTTGAAAAATAGTGACAAGTTAAGTAAGAGTGAAGCAGTTGAAGCTGCTCAGATTGAGCCTCTTTACCAATGTATCCTAGAGACTCAATCCTTGGTTTTGATGAAGAAACAGCTTGTTTGCTGTTACTTGTTAATTCTCAGCCTTAAACATTCAATGATTGTGCAATTTTTTTCAATAACAGGGTACCTTTCTTCCTTGTCTTGACATTTGGCAGCAATCTCTAAACATTGTTGGTATGATGCAGAAACTAATTACCACACTACTAAGACTCTAATCTTCAGGAAAGGGGGAAAAATTACAGGAATCAAGTAGTTAACAAACTAACCATGTCTCAGTGTTGTAGTGTTGGTTTCCAAAAAGCGAGAACAGAATCACCTGAAATTATATTCAGACACATATCCAATCACCTAAATTCCCTAAATTAGGAAACTTCCCTAAATTGAGGGTTGGAAGAAACCAAGAATAGAAATTCCTCACATTGATGGGATTCCTTGAATAAAATCGATTCAAACTTTTGCTGCATGGGCCCTCTTTAAGGCTGCTGTTCAGAAATGCTTAAAATGTTAAAGATATCTCTACTTTTTAAATTTATTTTTTATTTGTATATATTCATGGGATACAAGTGCAATTTTGCTATTTTTTATTTTTAAATTTCATAATATTATGGGGGTACAAATATTTTGGTTACATATATTGCCTTTGCACCACCCGAACCAGAACTACAAGCTTGCCCATCCCCCAGACAATGCTCTCTGCACCAATTAGTTGTGAATTTACAAATAACCACCACTCCCCTCCCACCTGGCCAGCACCAGGTAAATATTACTTCCACATGGCATGGTGGTGAAGTCAGGGTCTTCAATGTATCCATCATTAGAGCAATTCACATTGTACCCACCAAGCACTTCCAATCATCCATCCCCTCCCACCTTTTTACTGGGCTCCAGAAAAATAAGCGTCATGCATCTGAGATAAAATCACCTTGGTATATGGAAAGTAGCAACGGTCCTGAAATGTCTGGGAACCCGAAGTGAGGGAGGTTGAAAGGGTTTGGATTGCATAAAGAAGATGAGTGTCTCAGACAACTATTGTGCCCTACTTTACAATGTTCTGAGCTCTGTCTGAACTCTACCCTCTGCTTCAGTGAGGTGACTGTCTCCATTTCACCCTCCAACATCTGTGGCAGTTGCAGCTTATCTGTGCCTTTCCTAAAGCTGTATACCAACTGCTTACTGCCTTACAGCTTTTTTGACACAGTGGGATGGTCTTCAGATCCTGAAAAGTGCTCATGCATGAGCAACCCAGAAGTTCTGGACAGTTAACATCTGATGAGTCAGCCTTGCCCAAATGGGGGTAGGAACAAACAGATAAATGATTTTGTATTTCATATTCCAGGAAAACAGCTTTAATTCATTTCCTAAGCCTCCTCAGAATGTGGTCTTGAGTCCCCGTCACCTGTTTGGCACCCAACTCGAAGATGCATCCTGGCATCATCTTTCACTCTTTTCCCTCTTCACTTGCCCTGTTCTGCACTTCTGTTCCTTAGGATCATATGTCCCTCCCTAACCCCCAAACCAAATTATTGGCAATCATGTATTTGTCTCAGGCCCTGCTTTCAGAAGTACTGAAGATAAAACAGTGGGGATTTAGGGGAAGAAAAAAAGA